GCCAAAGACTTGATACAATTTAATACAATGTAACTTCATGGCATATATATTCTATTGGTAACATTTGGAAGCCAATTGTGCATATCAATTAATTAGAACATTTTGTTTATCAGTCTGTAGTTTCTAATGATGTCCCTATTATATCTAGAACATTTGCTTACTTAGCTGTGTGATATTGGGCAAGTGATTTAATCTTTGATAGATTTCTTTCACTGTTCATGTGCTTTGCTTATAGAAGTTTGCTTTGAGAGGAAAAAGGAGGGACATGGTTTTTTTGGATTCCAGACAAGAATCATATATGACAGCCACTCCAATTTTGATACAGTGTAAAGATCAGATTTAGAGATAATCAGGTGGGGAAGTTCCTTTTCAGAAGGGAAATATCTCAGTGGAGTCAAGAAGATCCTGCCTTTGCCTTCACATACTTCTCAACTCTCTGAGGCACAGTCATCCACTTCTGGCAGTCATTAGACTGCACTCCATTTGAGCAGCAGTGGTATTTCTTTATCAAAGAGTATTAGCTTTATAGTAGTTTAGACACTAATACCTGAAATCAGACTTAAGACAATATTACACTCCCAAGAGATTTTTATCTTAAATAGCAAAATCTTAGGATAGTATTACTTACCTATTCCCAGTGAGCAATAGGTAACAAAATTAAAGTTTTTATCACAGTTGGCATTAGCAGCAACACTTAGAATAGGCCTTCACAAGTGGATTGAAAAATTCAAAGGCTTGGTTTGTGTTGCAATTCAAAAAAACTCCTCCCAACTGTGATATAATGGAGATAAAAGGCTTTGCTTTTATAGGAGAATGGTCACAGAAAATTAAAAGTCACACAATTTAGAAGCAGTAATGTAATTTGCCCCTTGATGTGCTTCAGCAGATGAAAGAAGGGAGAGAGAACCTATAATGTGGTATGAGAAGGACTTCAGAAGGGTGATGGCCAGAGAAAGATGGAGCCTGTAGATTAAGAAAATAAACACTGTGCTGGACAGCTCCAAGTGGATTGTCGGGGATAACTCAGGAATGCCAAAGCGGCTATCTGATATGCACCTTGGTGACAGAAGTTTTGGGAGGGGGGAAGGTAGCTTACCTTCTGCAGTCATCAACCCTAGAAACATCTGGCCTCGGTTGTAGAGAAAAGGAAGATCATCAATGGCAAAGATGAAGCACATGGCCACGTCCTGGGAAAAGTGAAGGCAGCATGCTCTGCCCTGGGGACTGAATGGGAATGCTTAATGAAAGCTGCACATCAGTTTGTTGCTGCAAAACATGTAGCAGTATAAGGAATAGCAGAAACAAGAATGGGTTGGATTTTAGATGTAATCAGTAAGGAATTCAGTGAAAAATTTATAACGAGTGAGAAAAACAACAGTGTTCTTCATTTATTCAGGCAAGGATGTCAACAATAGATGCAATACCCTAAGTAGTTTCTGTGAAGAATGGGTATTGATGAACAGAAGTAATATGCCAAATCACAGCTCAGTTTTATTGGGAGAGTCAAACATCAATTACTACATTTATTTGACTCTCCAACCCTGTGGGAGATTGGTGCTATTATCATTTCTTTAATATCCTTATCTGAATGAAATAAAAATCCTTTACCTTCAAAGCCTCAACTCATTCCCTTTTTCAACTTGCTTAAACTTTCTTTCATCCTGTCTATTTTACATGCAGATTTTTTAACCACTTTTAATTCCTCTTATCTTTTGGCCATGTCTTAGGACCCTCCTTAATTGCAAAAGTCCTTCATTTCATTGAGGTAGACTACAACTATTACAAATTTCACTGTTAGACTGTGAAAGAGGAAGTGAAGTTAGCCCAGACAAGTTTGGCTTCATTCCTGGATAAGCTTGTCTTCATTCCCCTTACTGTAGCCAGTGAAATCACCTTCCTTTTTGCACCACTTAATGATATTTTCTGTACATTTCAGTCTTCTCTTGAAAAAGAGAGAGGTTCCCGTAATACTGCTTTTTAAAAAATCTTTGCTATGAGACAGACCGTCTGTCAGTATGTTCAAATATAAAAAACCCAACAGTTACCATCTGAGATGATCTAGCCTTCCAGGGATGGTGAGGGCCTCCAGTAAGGTCGTAAAGTCCTAATCTGAGGCTGGTTTTACTTTTGCTTAAGTCTCACTCCCTCTTAATACAGTTCCTGACAAGGTGGCCCCTCTCATCACAATTAAAACATTTTCTATCCCTTATGGCAGTAAAAATAATCATGATAATCTAAGAGACAGCACTTAACAAAATGCCACCTCTTCCTTGGTTAAATTGATTGACAAAGGCTAGAATGAACTCCTTAGCCTTTGGACTGGGAGGATTTAATCTAACAGCTACTGAGCTCACCCCAGCCCCTGTGGAATTTGACCCTGCATACCAGTTAGCATTTTAATGAGAGCACCTAGGGGTTTCATTCTCTTGTCTAACTTCTTGAGATTGATTATATTTGGGGGGAGGGATGGTGGTGGATGCCTCTATTCTCCAAATTTGCAATAGCCTGATGTCAGTAGGTAGATTGTTAGGGTTCCAGTATAGACTCTGCAGAAGGCCAAGAGTTTTCTCCATTTGGCTTTTAAAAGACTCACACAGGAATCCCATCATTATAGACTGTTTATTTGTTGTCTCTGAAAGACAGTGATGTCCCAATCAAGCCAACTATGTCTCCCCTAGTTGACTTAATAGAAACCTCACTGTACCCCAGGATCATAACAGCCATAGGGTTGTCATTAAATTAGGAATGTTGTTCAGAATAGAAATAAAGATGAAATATTGTTTACAAATAGAACATAAATCAAAATTATTTTTAAAAAGCAGGTAGTTTTATGCACATGATGGAGAAATTGCCCTAAAAAGCAATAGCATCTCTGATAAAGTGAATATTACTATGATTGAAATGGAAGAAATGATACCAAGTGCATTGGCCAGATGTGTTCTGCAAATAAAAGGTGGGAAAAATAGGTGATCCCTGCCATGTATCAAAGTATTTTCAGATCTGAACAATCTGTCCTATATGTGATTCTTCTGTCTGCCTCACATTCTCTTGCCTTTTGTTTTCTGAAGGTCCAGAGTTCTAGGGATGTTTAGATCATATATCTCCTACTGGAGATAAAACTGGCAATTTCACTGGGAAAGAATTTTTACAACCAGTGTCTCTGATAAGGGCCTCATTTCTAAAGTATATAGAGAACTAAGTCAAATTTATAAGAATACAAGTTATTCCCCAATTGATAAATGATCAAAGGATATGAACAAGCACTTTTTAGATGAAGAAATTAAAGCTATCTATAGTCATATGAAAAAATGCTCTAAATCATTATTGATTAGAGAAATGCAAATCAAAACTACTCTGAGGTACCACATCACACCTATCAGGTTGGCTAACATGACAAAACAGGAAAATGATCAATGTTGGAGGAGATGTGGGAAATTTGGAACACTAATACATTGTTGGTGGAGTTGTGAAATGATCCAACTGTTTTAGAGAGTAATTTGGAACTGTGCCCAAAGTGCTATAAAAACGTGCATACCTTTGACCCAGCAATAGCACTTGTATCCCAAAGATATCATAAAAATGGGAAAAGGACCCACATGTACAAAAATATAGCAGCTCTTTCTGTGGTGGCAAAGAATTGGAAATTGTGGGGATTCCCATCAACTAGGGAATGGCTGAACAAGTTGTGGTATATGAATGTAATGGAATATTATTATACTATAAGAAATGATGAGAGGTGGACTTCAGAAAAACCTGGAATGACTTGTATATATTGATGCTGAGTGAAATGAGCAGAACCAGAAGAACGTTGTACACAGTAACAGCCATGTTATTCGATGACTAACTTTAATAGACTTATCTCTTCTCAGCAATGCAAGACTCTAAGACATCTCCAAAAGTCTCATGATAGAAAATGCTATCCACATCCAGAGAAAAATGTACTATTTTCTCTTTTTTCCCTTCTGTTTTGTTTTGTTTCTTTCTTGTGGTTCCTCCTATTGTTTCTAATTCTTCTTTACAACATGACTAATGTGAAAAATATGCTTAATAGGAATGTATATGTGGAGCCTATATCAGATTGCACACCATCTTGGGGAGGGAGAGGGAGAAAATTGAAAACTCAAAAGCTTATGGAAGTGATTGTTGAAAACTAAAAAATAAATTAATTTAAAAAAGAAAAGAAGAGGAACTAGCAATGTCTGTCTCATAAATTAGCTCCAATGCCTGGTAATAAAATAATACATTTTAAATAAGTGAAAGAATCCTCCTTTTTAGTCATTTCTATGTGACTATCAAAATTCATGAATATGTGCCATTAAGAAATAAAATCAATCATAAAGCCAAAACATAAAATATTTTGGCTTTGACTCATAATACCTCAAGCTCTCATTATAACAATAGATATCTCCTTCACTTAGATGGAAACAGTCTCACATCATTCAATTTAGTCCAGATTCTAATTAATATCACTTAGGAAAACTCTTCATGTTTCCATCTAGATAACAATTTATTTCAGCCTTTTAGGAAAAAAAACAACTATTATTCCTTTTTCTTTATTCTCTATTCATTGATCACAGGAAACAGTTTATCCCTAGAATACATGTAACTCGACAGCTTCTCACAAGTCCTTCATAGAGTTTTCTTAACATAGCATTTATGCCAGTTTTTATTATGAAGAAATTTTGCACCACCTTCTGTCTTTCTCCTCCAGAGCCCCTCATATCTCTCTATTAGAACACATAATTTCTTAACTTTTCTGATTGCACAGAGAATAATAATTCACAGTAAGACATTTTTAGCTTTATCCCAACTGAAAATATTAAATGCTTCTCTCAATATTCCATTGGGCTTTTCATGATTGTGGTTTCAAGTGTTGGCTCTGACTCTCATAAAGGGTGTGATCTTTGGGCAAATCCCTTCTCTATGCTTCAGTTTGCATTGGACAGTATCAATTCTGAAATGTGTTTCTACTCTAAGTCCTGTGGGTCTTGATGTTTTAGGAGTTGGTGACATACAAGGATGTGGCTGTGGACTTCACCCCAGAGGAGTGGGGTCTGTTGGACCATGCTCAGAAAGAGCTGTACAAGACTGTCATGCTGGAGAATGCTCAGACCTTGCTCTCCCTGGGTAAGGACCACTTCCTCTGGGAACTCTGAATTTGCCATCAAAGGAGTGTCTTCATTCCCTCCCTAGTGTGTAGAGTTTCAGGCATTTATCAATTCTTAGAAAGGCCAAAGTGCTGTGCTCCTGTGTCCTACAAACAAGGTCCTCCTGTTGCCTGGTTTTCCTAAGAGAGTTCTTGGTGTTGTGAGATAGGGAGCTGGGAGTCTTCTTTATGTCTCCTAAAGGGTCTCCTTCTGATTCTAGGCAGCTTTAGGTCAAGGACCGAGACAGTGATCCTGAATCTGAGATTTGGGATGGATCTCAGGTGTTACAAGTTTAACCTCTATGTGGATGTGAATTTTGTCTGCAGAATCTCTAAAAACTGTTCGTGCCTTGAACATGGGCAGTGAAGGGAACCCCCTTCCTCCCAAGGCTGCCCTTCCTCTGTGGGAAACATTTTGTCTTTCACATTTGTTTTCAGTGCTTGTTATTGGATGAATTTGTAGCCTGTTGCTTCTGGTGTCAGTCCTAGAGCCTCTGGTTCTAAATGGACATGAATAGCCATCTGCTGTGAACTAGGCACTGTGCTCAGGGCTTTCTTCAGGCATGTTATCTCTCTTGATCTTCACCACAGTCTTTTAGTTTCGATGCCTTTATTATACCCACTTTATAGTTGTAGACGCTGAAGAAAACGGTGATTAAGTGACTTACCTCATGGGCACACAGCCAGTCTGAGGCCAGATCTGAGTTCAGGTCTTCCTGACTCCAGGCCCAGTGCTTTCTCCTCTGCACTACCAGTGGCCTCTAATTTAAAAAAAAAAAAGAAGCAGCTATGGAATGTAGCCATCTTCCTATGAAAGAGACAAAGTTGGAATTTTCTGATTCCAAATTGGTTATGAGATCTTCCTTACCCTCTGCCTCCCAAATTTCCCACCAGTAAACACTCTGAAAACCATCTTTGGGTAGTCCTTGGACCACCTTCTGGTCTTTGCTTGTATCCCCCTTTCCCTAATGAGGATTAAATGACAAGTTTCTCTCCATCTTCCTGTCTAATTTATTCCCCCTGCCTAGGACTTCCAGTTCCCAGAGAAGATTTGATCTCCCATTTTGAGCAAGGAGGCCTGAGGAACTGCTGTCCAGGTGAGTGAGGCGAAAGCTGGTGTATGTGGGCTGTTATCCCAGGAGTCTTCTTCATGTTGCAGTGAAGGGAGTGCTAGACTTGGGGAGAGGAAGACCTGTCTTGGAATTGTTTTTCAGGCACTTTCTAGCAGTGAGATCTTGGGCAAGTCACTGAAGCTCCAAGCCTCAGTTTCCTTATCTGTAAAATGAGGGGTTTGGACTCCATGGCCTTCCAGTACCCTTGTATTGATGAATCAGTGGTCCTATTATAAGTCTTTGTTGGAAACTTTGGGGTGAGATAAATGAAAAGCCCAAAAGACAGAGTTTCTGGGTAAGTAATAATCAATTATTAATTAGATTAATTAAGTTAATTAATAATCAATAAATTGGAGATGGTCTCTCTCAGTAACCAGAGACAAAACCATGGAGCTTACTGAGTACTTAAATAACTGGAAAGGAGGTTGCCCCTGACAGCTGAAAAATTAAACCGATTGGTGAACAATTAATGAGGGGATGGACTTTCAGGAGGGGGAACAAGGTGCAAGGAGACTAGGAAGGTAGAAAAGGAGTGATGATGAAGGGCTCTAACAGCCCAACAGAGGATTTTATCTTTGACCTTGATGGTAGGGAACCATAGGGGTTTTTAGTGTAGGGAGTAACATGATCAGGCAAGAGCGTAAGAAGATGAATTTGGCAGCTGGTTGGAGGATTGAGTGGATGGGGAGCAACTTGAGGGAGTGAGCCCAAGCAGCCAGTTCTTGTGAACCTCAGATGTGGGGTCACTGGGCCCTCCAACCATGAAAGGAGAGAGAGAGGGATAGAGTCAAAAGATACTACAAAGATGGAATCAATGTAACTTTGAATTGAATGTGGGGGAAAGTGCAGGAGAGATGATGAGGAATAGATGATGCCTAGGTTTTGAGTGTCCTGAATAGTAATAGGAAAGCGAGAAGATGGGAGCACTGGAAGGGAGATGATAAGTTTAGTTCGGTTGTGGTATAAGTAGTACCAGGAGAGAGTCATGCCCCAAAAACAGAGTGGGGAGAGAAAGGCAAGAGAAGAGAGTGTTAAGGGAATGATGATTGGATAATTGTCAGTATCAGAGGCTGCAGAAAGGTCAAGAGGAATGAGGATTGAGAAAAGGCCATTGGTTTTAGTGATTGGGTAATTTTGGAAAGAGCTGTTGAGTAGGGAAGCTGGGAGCCAGATTACAGAGAATTTGGAAAAAACGAAGAGGAAAAGACATGGCACTGCTAATGTGGATGGCCATGTCCCGCTGTTTAGCCACAAAAGGCTTGGAAGGTATGGGACAATGTATCATGAGGAGGAAGGGAGCGAAGAAGTGATAGATCAGGGATACATGGTTATATTCATGGAACTAGAGAAGGAGCCAGTAGACAGAGAGATTTAAAAATGGGAGGGGGGGGAATGAGAGTAATCAAGGAAGGAATGTGCTGGGGAGAGGATGGAAGGGAGTAGTGTCATTTATGTATGTCCATGGGTTTACTTTGTCAAGCAGGAGGGCCTCCTCTTCACATGAGACTGGAGAAAAGAAGGCATCTGATATATGTCAAATGAGGAGATGAAATAGCTTTAGGTAAATGTCCTATTTTTTTCACTGAAACACAAAGCCAAGTTCTCATCAGAGAGTTTAGTGGGGAACAAATGATATGGAAAGGTTGAGGAGGCCTATGTGCTGTGGTTTATCCTTCATTCTCAAAGAGGACTGTGACATCAGGAGGCTGATGCCAAGACTTGCAATTGAATTGGATTTAAGTGAGGGAGGGCTGTACATAGTCACCAGCCTCACTTTCTCTTCCAGAGCCATCTGGGTCCAGTGGCCACATGTAGATCAGGATGACTGGTGATGGCCAAGGATGCTGGCCTTTTTAAGCTAACGTCTTTCTTAGCTCTCACTTTTGGTGAGGCAACTCCCATTCAGTGATTAGGCCTGTTTAAGAAATGAGTCAAGGGATGGCCCCTTGAATAAAAAAAAAAAAATGAAACCGGGAGGGGAAGACCCTCAGGGCTGCTGGCTAAGAGAAATGATTCTAATAACATGACTATTGTGAAAATATGTTTAATGGGAGTGTATATGTATAACCTATATCAAATTGTGTGCCATCTTAGGGAGGGAGGTAGGGAGAGAAAAATGTAAAACTCAAAAGTTTATGGAAGTGATTATTGATAAATCAAAATAAATTAATTTTAAAAATTAAAAAAATAGAGATTAAAAGAGAAATAATTACTATTTACATTCATTCTGTGGCATCAGGGTCCCCCAAAATACCATTAAATGGTGCTTGGGTAGGGACCTATTGGTTACCTTCCTTTGAGCAGAATACCATCAGGAAGGGACATGATGCCCCATATGGGGAAAGGAGAGGAAAAGAAAAGAGCAGAGAGGAGAGGAGAGAGAGCCGTGCAAAGTCACCAGCCTCACTTTCTCCTCAGCAGAGCCATCTGGGTCCAGTGGCCAGATACAGATCAGGACAACTGGAGATGGTCCAGGATGCAATGGGAGACCTTGGCCTTTTTAGGCTAAGGTCTTTCCAAGTTCTCACTTTGAGTGAGGCAATGTCTATTCACTTAAATCCAGTTCACTTGTAAGCCATAGCATCATCTTCCTGATGTCATGGTCCTCTTCGAGAACGAAGGACAAACCACAACCTGTGAGTTGTCCAAGCTGCCCCAGTGGGCAGCCAGCTGGCTAGTTCCAGTTGGGCATCTCAGTTCCTCTTCTCTTCCTTTCACCTCCCCTCCCCACAAGGGGTATCATGCCCTTACCTGACAGTGTTCTGCCCAAAGGAAGGTAAATTTTGGTGGCTGAAACCTGCCTAGTTATCTTGGGGTTTATTGGCTATAGTTCTTTTTTCAAAAACCAAGCCTTAAACCCAATTCACTGACTCTCATTGATTGGCCAACAATAGGTCCCTGCCCAAGTACCACTTAATGGTTATTTTTTTGGGTCCTGATGGCTCAGAGTGAACATAAATAGTAATTGTTTCTCTTTTGGCCAGCAACTCTGAGGATCTTCCCCTCCCAGTTTGATTTTTTTCTTTTTATTAAAGGGGCCCTCCCTTGACTCACTTCTTAAACGTGCCTGATAATTGAGGAGGCATGAAAAGATCTGGAAAAGCTTGGTAGTGAGTAGAATAGGAAGTCATTTGGTAAACTGTCCAAGGATTGCCTTGCCACAGTGAAGGCCCAGCTGAGGATATGTAATGTAAAATTGTAGTTGACCCAGGCAACCTAGTTTCATGGTTTTCTCTCTCTCCATTTATCAGTACATGAATAAGAGTGAAGGCCATTGCCGTACTGGGAAGTAATTCAGGTGTAAATCATCAACCTTCATCCTTTTTCTGGTTCCTGTGGCCCAATCTTTGGCCTATTCTTGGAGAATCATCGGCCAGATTCATGTAGGTGATTGCTACTCTTAGGGTGGGGTTGTTATTTGTCCTTCTTTCTCAAAATTACATCAGGAAGCTGATGTCATGACTTGAAAGTGAATTGGATTTAACTGAGGAAGGCTGTGCAAGGTCACCAGCCTCACTCTCTCCTCCTAAGCCATCTGGGTCCAGTGGCCAGATATCGATCAGGACTACGGGAGGTGGCAAAAGGAAGGTACAAAGAGATGCAAAAGATACTTCCTGCTGTCGGGCAGTTCAAAATCCAGTATGTAGACATGGAGACAGTTTGAGAAGAAGCAACAGATCATAGAACTTACTCTTAGCTGATCCAGGCAAAGGAGAGTGTTTTGGTTTGGAAATACCTTAAGTTCAACAGGCACATAGATGAATACAAGGAGAGAAGAGAATGGTGGTTTATGAAGGAGAGAATTGTCAGGGTGGAAAGAATCAAATCCTAGTAACAGTAATAACTAGCAATTATATGGTGCCTACTGTGTGCCAAGAGTTTTACAAATATTATCTCATTTGATCCTTACAACAACCCTGAGAGTAGGTGTTATTATTACCCACATTTTCCAGATAAACTGAAGCAAAGAAGTACTGTGATTTTCCCAGTGTCATAGAGCTAGTAAGTGTCTGACGCTATGTTTGAACTCAAGTCTACCTGACTCCTGGCACATTGCTCTACCCATTGGGCAACCTAACTGCCTGGTGGTGGAAAATAAGTTTCTGCTCTAGAGGATTCTTCAACTAGGAGAGATGAAAAAGATAAGCAACTCTTAAGCTAGGGTTATATCCAGTCATCTGGGACTGGGATAGAAGGAAAAAAGGTGTGGTGAGTGGTGGGGATCATGCCATTTCAATTATAGATGGCTAGAGTTGATCCCTTTCCCTTCCCCCATCTTTTTTTTTTCCCCTTCTAAATATGGAGACAGGGACAAAGAGGAAAGATGTTAAGAGGATATGATGGAGAAAAGATAATTTTTCATCACAAATAAATTAAAATGAAATAAATTCCTTCATGAAAACTGAAAATGATAGCACAGTGCATTAGGATGGAGAACCCAGGGGAGGATTCAGGGAAGACGGTAGAGTAGATCAGAAAATTCCAAACTCTCTGGATTTTTCCCCACAAACAAGATAAAATAGCGCCCCAGGTTGAACATAGAGCAGTAAAAATGAACAAGAGTCAGGGCAAAACAGTGGTCCTCCTGGGACAATTGCAGAAGATCTGAAGAAAAATTCCTGGCCCAAGGTTTTGTCCCTGTGAAGTATCAATACCTTCAGGCTAGTTCCCTTGAAACAAGAGGCAACCCTGCAGGTAGCTGGGTTGGGAGGTAGCCTAAGCCCCAGCCACAGGAGCTTTCACCTCCTGGACAGTGTAGGAAAGTGGGCAAGATTGAGGGAACCTCTGCTGATAAAGAATGCCAGACCCAGCTGTGCTGCCCAGACTCCGCCCTGCGCAGGAAGGAACCAGCACATGCCTGATGAGTGTAGAAGCAGGGGGGCAGGGATGCAGCTGGCTGTGGGCACTTACAGGAGGGTGGAGTTCTTGATTTCGGTTCCAAGGTAGAGGTGAGAACTGAAGGAGGATCCAGGAGGCACCATCCC